CTATGTGGCTGTCTCTAGGGTAAACAGTGCACACACCAACTGAACAATTGACTGTAGGGTCATTTATGTTGTGTAAAGAAATTATAAAAAAATCTGTCCTGTGACTAACTATTAAATGCTATAATGTAATGTCCTGTGATTGTCTTGTTATCTTTATGTGTAAACCCTGATTGATGCTGCAATAGAAATATTAAATAATATTAATCAGACTCTTCCCCTCTCTTTCAGATGTTGTAACCTGACTAAATTGGGAATCTGCAAAAAGAGTTTAAAAGAAAAAATCGAGCAACAAACCTAACGTTGCAATAATTTACACTCCTTTTTTGTCTTGATTTTAAAGTGACAGATGTGTCAAATCCCCGAGTATGAGTTTGAGTGATACTTCCACCCAAAAGAGATGTGAGACCACTCTGAAAGTGTCGCAAGTATGTCATATGCGTGGAAAAAGATGGATATGCCAGGTTTAATAAAAAAAAATTCTGTCCATCTGTGCTTATAACTTAAAATGTATACTTCTGTGCTAAATGTTCTTTCACTCTGTAATTCAAAATGATTCAAACTAATGTATGCAATCCTTTAATAGATTCACAATTTGAAGAGTTGTGCTACTTAACCATTGGTTGAAATCTTAACAAGGTATCTTGTTTACAATATTAATTTGAGGCAACTTGTTCTCTTCTAGCTTTTGCCTGGATTCTACTGATGATTCATGTTTGTCCCGGGGAATAGTCTCACAGCATTGTCTGCTTAAAGCTTTTCTGTGAGATATGTTTACCAGGACTTGATTTTCTACAATGGTTTATGCAGATTCTCATTTAGAGTGAAGTATATCTCTGTACCGTAACAAGATAACATTTCAATCATTGATTTTGCTATATGTATTAAATATAATTATATATTTTTTAAATTCATAAAAATAATTAAGCTCTTTATTTTTCGGCAAGGTTGTCAGTTATTAATATAACTGAAGTCTTTGATTGGATTCTGATCCACTGTAGAATTTTAAGGTAACATGATTTCTATTTTTTTATCTAGAAAAATGCTTTTATTTTACAGCTGACTAAGCAGACAATAGCATAGCTGCCAACTGTTCAGAATTTTTTAGGATTTGTTCCTAATTTTTAAATCTAATCTGAAAATCTGATATTTTTATAAAAAATCTGAATTTTCATAAAATTTTTGATTTTGAACCAATCCTTTTTTCTGATCGCCACAAGCACGCATCCTGTGATTATTGTGCTAAAGTAATTTTTAGTAGCTTTTTATTGGAAAATATTATTCCAATAGCTGTCTGTTGCTGATTATTTCACTAAATTATTATTTTTGGAAATAAATAATTATATATTAATAGGTAATGTTTGTTTTTAATATATCATACCGGTATTCCTAATTTTAAAATATTAATGTTATAAGTTTCCCGCAAAAGATAGCGTTTATAGTTTTGTTTTACTAATTTACATATTTAAATATATGTCTATTAATGTTATGATTTAATAGTTAAATTTTTATCTTACTCTCGTAATTAGTGCATATAATTTTGTCGCATCTAGTGTTCCTAATTTTTGATTCCTAAGGTTGGCAGCTATGCAATAGTTATAAAGAAAGACTTAGCTGCTTTTTTTCTCAGGATGATGCCACTAGTAGTGGTCATAGACCTTATATGATTGCATCTGCAAGCACCTTCATAGAGTCAAGCTAGCTACCAAACTCTGTCTATTGTGTAAGAATAAAAACAAATATACGTGCTTCAAATTCTCAGATCCAACTTGAATAAATTTTTTTTCTTCCTTTTTTATACTTTTTACATATGCTGTACTCTTACTACTAAAAATAAATATATTCAAAAGAAAATATATCTCATTTATTTATTCTTTCTTGAAGATGTATATCAAGAGAAAGATACTATTTTATAGTACATATGTATCCAAGGTATAAATAATATTGATAAGTATTGGTAAATTGAATAAGTATTGGACAAGATTGATAAGTATTGGACAAGAGCTGAGACCTCTTGACCTGAGAAAAAAACCAGAGTTT